CCAGCCCTGCCGGTGCCCCTCACTCCCGACCCGCAGCCCCTGCCAGCCCGGCCCTGGGCTCCCCCTGGAGCTTGCACCATCTGTGCCTGTTGATTTTTAATTATTCATCTGCTCTCCGGCCAGGCAGCTGATGGGAGGTTAATGGACAGAGGCGGGGGAGGGGGAGGGGGAGCGCCCCTGGGACCCCCCCACACCTGTCAGCTGCAGCTGGAGCTGGCTAACCAGGCCCCTGCTAAGCAGGGAAAGCCCAGTTTACAGTTTGGATGGGAGACCGGGCAGCACAGCGCCCCCTGCTGCCCGGCCCTGCCTGTCAGGGGAGAGTGTCCCCTGCCCAGCACCCCCACCCCGCTCCCTGCCCCACGGCGCCCCCCATAGCCCCCAGTCTTGCCTGCCAAGGGAGAGCACCCCTGCCCACCCCTCCACCCCACTCCCTGCCCCATGGTGCCCCCCACAGCCCCAGTCTTGCCTGCCAAGGGAGAGCACCCCTGCCCACCCCTCCACCCCACTCCCTGCCCCACACCCAGCTCTGCCTGCCAGGGGAGAGAATCCCCTGCCCAGCCCCCTGCCCCACAGCACCCCTTAGTGTCCGGCCCTGACTGCCAGGGGAGAGCACCCCCTGCCCCAGACCACCCACCCTGCTGCCCACCCCACGGCACCCCCTAGTGCCCAGTCCTACCTACCAGGAGAGAGCACCCTCTGCCCAGCCCCCTGCCCCACTCCCTGTCCCATGGCACCCCCCCCCCCGCTCTGGCTGTCATGTCAGGGACAGGTGGGAGGATAATCACATCAAAGGGCTGGGGTTCAGCAGCTCCAGCAGGATTAGTGAAAGCTGATGCCACGCCCCGGCAGCAAGGCGACATTTTGGGGGTGACACACCGGGGGGGGGTCACGGCTGTTGTAGCCGAAACCTGGAGGCTAATTCTACAAAGCAATGTGCGCTCCCCAGTCCGAGGGGTAATGGGGGGGGAGAAACACAGCAATGGGGGGCTGCAGGATCGGTTGGGGGCCTGGGAAGAGCGGGGAAGCCAGGGGCTGTGTGGCAGGAGTGGAGATGGGGTCAGGGCTGGGATGGGGGGTTGTGGCTTGGGGATGGGCTAGCAGGGGCTGTGGGGTAGGCTGGAGGGGCAGGGGAAGAGCAGGAGGGGCAGAGGGATAGCACTGGCTGCATGTCTGGTGGGGGGACATGTCTGCTCGTGACAGAGGCCTTGACTGACCCAGCCTGGCCCTTTGCACACCCAGGCCCACTGGGGAGACCCCATACAGATGGCAGGACCCATATAATGGGGGGATTGCAGCCATGGGGGGAGGCCCAGCTCTGGTCCCCTGCCTCTGAAAGCCTTGCCAGTGCCCTCCCTCGGCTGCCCCCCACCCCCAGCACCAACGGCCTCGTAAAGGCATTTTTAACGTTCCAGTCTCAAAAAAACCCTGCGGGAACAAGTGGCAGAGCCATAGATCTGTGGCCAGGGGGTGGGGTGGGGCGGCCCGGGGAGGAACCAGGCTAGTGTGGGGCCAGGCAGGACCGGAACAGGTAGCTGGGTGGTGCCAAACACCCTCCTCCCAGAATAACAGAAATTGGGGCTGGGGGAGGGTCCTTGGCTCACTGCCAGGATCCTATAAGGAGCAGAGGGACCAAGCCAATTATGGGGGGGCATGTGTGGGGGGAGAGCTGGGCAGGGGTGATGGGTTCAAGCCTGGCTGTCTCAGGGGGGCTGGGAATGGGGCACCAGGGCCTTTCTCCCTTAGGGTGCCAGCTTGGCTCTGGCCCCTGGCTGCGCTCCTGGTTCCCAGCTCAGCCTGGCATGGTGCCAGCCCTGTTCATTAGCCCCCTCACCTGGCCAGACCCCAGACCCATTAATAACAGCTCCAGCATCGTTAATGTCGCCCTGCCTGAGCCATGCCAAGACCCCAGCTAATAACACAACCTTGGGGCCTGGGGAGGACCCAGGACTCCTGGGTTCTCACCGTGGCTCTGGGAGGAGAGTGGGGTCTGGTGGGGTGGAGCTGGGAGCCAGGACTCCTGGGTTCTCTCCCTGGCTCTGGAGGGAAGTGGGGGTTTACTGGGTTGCAGTTGGGGGGGGGTCTGGGTTCATACCTCAGCCCCAAGTGCCTCAGTTTCCCCGGTGAGGGGGGGTGCAGCCCCTCCCCTCCACCCACTCTCATTAAGGCAGGCCCAGCACTGTGATGTCACAAGCTGCAGCAGAAATGCTGAGTACAGTTGTGGGTCCTTCTCTAGCAATCTTGTTGGGTCCCTGCCTCTCCCAGGGCCGGCAGAGTGTGTGTGTGTGTGTGTGTGTGTGTGTGTGTGTGTGTGTGTGTGTGTGTCGTCGCTCGTCGCGGCGGCGGTGTGTGTGTGTGTGTGTGTGTGTGTGTGTGTGTGTGTCGTCGCTCGTCGCGGCGGCGGTGTGTGTGTGT